ATCAAGTCCTATGCCTGTGGTCTTTAATTGAATTGAGAAAAGAAGTTTGGAGAAAGTAAATCTCTCCTTTAAACTCCACAAGAGTTGATCCTCTTGTGAGTTCTGTATTACGGCTTGTCAAACTAAAAACGTGAAGATGATTAAATTGTGTTTACAAAGAGAGAGAGATGTCTAGATTATGTACGTAATGTTTCACAGATAATTTAAATTATTGTATTTCAGTGCACAGCACGCTTTCACTAAACACTGAAATGGACACAACTTGCATAAAAGAGCTCTGTGTAATTTTCAGAAAGTCTTTTGAAGGTGCCTCCAGTGATTGAAGTAACAAAACGATTAGAACACAAGTGTGTAGTACTCTTTTGACCTGCTCTGAGTAAGTCAGTAAACGTGACTCTTTCTCAGGAAAAGGGCACTTTACCAGAACTAAATTGCTTCTTAGATGTGCCCTTTGATTATTGTCAAAGTTGTGTTAACAGAGTATAGCTGATTTCTTGTACATTGAATAAAAGATGAAAAAATATGGTATGATCCTTTAACCTGACTGTAACCTCAAAACTTCAGTTTTCACGTCACTTGACAGACACATGAAATTGCTATGTCCAGGTCTTGGCATTGTCTCAAAGTTGTCTCATGGCAGAGAAATCTATCTTTCACATAATATTTGCTCCCAACACATGATCTCTGTGAGGGAGAGTGCACTTTTCTTAAAGTGCTGTGGGCCTCTTTTCCTGGAAAGACCTTGAATTAAAAGCAGACAGTCTTCTCGGTGAGGATTTAGAGGTCAATTTTTCACCATATATGAGTCACAAAGATGGAGATTTAGAGAAGGAAGGGAAGACTTAGGGAGTATAAGCGTTTGTGAAAGAGAAGCAGACATGGCATTGCTGCTTTTCAGATTCACTCTCTAAAGATGAAACAAGGAGGTCACCTGATGTTTAAATATATAGTAGTAGTATAAAAGAAAGATGGAAACATGGTTGCAGTTTCAAGCGTTTAGTTTTCATTTAAAACCATCAATGGAAGCAGGCAGAGGTTTTATCATTGTCACTTGGTTTCTTCCAAAGCCATTTAATCCACCAACTTTGTAAAACTTCTACACCGTTCAGCCCTCTCAGTCCTACTGTTATTACAAACATCTCTGAACTAGCCTTGGCCTCTCGACCCCCCCCGCAAATTCGCCCTCATGACGTTTTACCTTAGGGCTCGTGAGAAACACCGCTCATGAAAGTGTTTAAAAACGGAAATATTAAATAAACAAGTAGGCTTCTTAGTAAATCGCGTTATTATAAATGTCAGTGGGATTTTGAGTGAGGATTTGTGGAACCCAGAAGTTCAGTTTTTTACTTCGGTTCTGTATATCTGATATTGCAGATCTGATCTCTGATCTCCACCAGAAACAACATGTAACCTTTGATGATGTCATCTTTAGCCTGTACTGGGTTGATGCTGGATTATCCACTGGGAAAGTGAGAAATAGCCTCAGGACCCGCCATATATCAAAGTCCCAAGCCCACAGTTTATCCTGTCACCCTTCCCTGTCGAGGGGTCCTTTTTGTTAACTGGGACCCAAAAGAAAAACAACAACATAGTTATTATGAATGTTGTTGGTAACCATATTGCATCTGGTTTATGACCTGAAAGCTGGTCATGTATTCTAACATGCCATTTATTTATTTTATATATGCTTCATATATATCTTGTTTTCTGATGATTTAAACGCTTATAACATTACATGTAACAATTTCATTACAGAACTAAATTTCAAACATCAATAAAAATAAAAACATTATACTTTATGCCAGAAAAACACTTAATAAGACAATTTATTTTTAAATATCTGGCAACAAATGTGACCTTGTGTTTCACATGAAAAAGCTTAATGAGGTAATCATATTTGTTAGTACAATTATTCAGTATTGAAATGCTACAAGCGAGTGAAAGCTATGACGTCCTGTTCAATAAAAGCAGCAGGACTGCTCAGTGGTTAGACAGAACGGCCTCGACCCCAGAGAAGAAAAAGAGAATTTCACTACAGGGAGCAATATGAAAACATCATATTTGTTTTAATTATGGGTGCCGTGTTCAAGTTCACGAGCTGGACTTTAATCCACATTTCTGCTCTCTTGGTATGGGGTGCAACAAACGCAAAGGCCAAGTTGTTTTTGTTCTCATTTCTTGCCAAAGCAATTAGCGTCTTTATTTACCTCAGATTATCAGATATGGAGATACTCTGGTAGGTCCCGGTTCATAAACACTGAGGGCCCCTTTTTCTCCGATATTTGTGTACATTATCAAACACAAGCTCGGTGGGGATGAAACACCCATACTCGTGTTTTGTATGAATATGTAAAAGTGGCAGGGTTTGTTTAGTCTATGAGCTTCCTACCAATTTCAGGGAATCAGACACTTTGTCAGCAAGATTAAGACTTTTTAAGATGGTGAAACATAGAACGACACCCCACCGAAGAACTCCAGTACATTTGACATCATGGAGCTCATTATAGAGTAGCGCTCATACTTCTGCTTCTATGATGCATGTGTGAAAAGTTTTCTTCTTTATTTCTTTCTTTTTTCTATACAAACAAGCTGTAATGTTGTTCCTCTGCCTCACAGCCTTTCTGTATATAAACTTAACATGAATTGATGATCATCAAGAGAAACGGTAACACTTTATAATGAGTACACACTATTAAGCATTAGTTAAGCATAAATAAATACTGAATTCATCATTTATAACGCATGAATACACATTAGTATGTAGTTTATAAACACAGTTAAAAATGTTTTATTCATCATTGATAAGCACATTAGTTATGGATTAGTAAATACTGAATTCATCATTTATAAAGCATGTTTCTGCTGTAAATAGTCATTACTATGTGGTTTATAATCACAGTTATAAATGGCATTGTACTGTACATTTCTGCATGCACTTGCACATCCACTATTCAGACATGTATTAATGATTAGTGACTGTGTTAGCAGATGTTCTATAAAACTCCCAACAAATTCATTTTCTAATGATGGCCTATAAACAGTTATTAATGCAGGAATTCACAGTTACAAAGCACTTACTACTCGTTAATTAAGTATTTTGCACGAGCTTATCTAAAGTGAGCACTATCTATGGCTTATTAAGCATTTACAAATGAGATATAAAGGCTGGCAATGCCTCGAGACTCACAAAATGTTCAGTTATCTTAACAGACGAAGGAGAGACACAACACAAAGGGACATAGAACATATTGTATTGATATTTACTGCAACTTCCCAACATATTGTATGAAGACGAACAAGGGTGGTTTATGAAGACATGCTATTGTTGTGATCTTATCTGTTTGGGACGTGTACGTTGAGCTCCCGCTCTCAGCACGTCATCAACGTGATGACGTGCTGAGAGCGGGATGTTACGTCATATTTACGTTAACTCTCAGAAGTTTCTGACAGTGCAGCCAAGGGGAGCATGGAGAAACACATTGGAGTCGGCGGCCGTCAGCGGCACTAGAGGTGAGTATGTGTCTTTGTTTGGTTGCACACATTATGGTGAAAGATAACGTTAGCTTGTCACTTGACACTAACGACTAACGTTACCGACCGGCCCGCGGTGGCTAAGCCGACCCGCCGCTGCTAGGCACTCACCTCGCCCGGCTAGACGAGACTAGGCTAGGCTCATTATAAAGTGTTACCAGAGAAACTCATACAGTCTGAGTTGCAGCAACTAAGGAGTGAGTCTGTTTGTACCACAATGTCAAGAGGGTCTAAGCTCAATCAAAACCAGATCTCTGAGTTTGTGTTGATAAATCTGTGCATGTTTTTTCAATATTTACCAAGACATGTGAGTGGTTGTTATTTTCATGTTTTGCCATCCGCCTGCACAAATTGAAAATGTTCACGTTGTTCAAATATGGTTAATTCTGACTCTCCTTACATATTTCAGCCAAGATTTAATTTGAATCAGCACAACCTCTCAGGCTAAGGTAACAAAAACACAATGATTCTTATTTTTCAGTTGATTATACACGAATGAAAATAAATTCATATTATACTCCATTTCTGACGTATTTAGCAGAATGAATCTGGATGGAAAAAGTGAAAGAGCAACTTGTGCCTCTCTCATTACCACCACTGAGGTGCCCTCGAGCAAGGCCTTCCACCCCCGACTACTCCAGTGGAGCTGCTCAGTTTCTAGCAGATGAGTGGGATAGCTTCAAGTGTGAGTGTGTGTATAGTCACTGTGTGATCAAGGCGTTCTTGATACAGAAGCATCTCAGAAATGCTGCTGCTTAAATCAAGGTAAAACATTTTTTTTCTCAAATTTGGTTGCTGCTTTAACAAAGTTTTAAATCTTTTTTTTATCATATTTTCATCCTTGAAGTCAGGTTCAAATTAGAAGAAGTCAAGGTTGATTTACGTCCGATTTGCCCCTTCAAAGCATTACACAGATGAGCACACACGATCAGGCGGCCCCAGATAGTTTCAAACCTGGTTGAGATAAATCTGTACGTCATTGCTTTGCCCTGAAAGCGTCATCGTTACGTCTGGTTGAGGGAGATGCTAACAAAATACAAGACAAATCCACTGCACCAAGAGGCAAACATTTTTTACAAGAGGACTTCAAACGGATTGTGTTTCAGTTATGCAGAGCTTTCTTTATCGGGCAATAAACTTTACTTTAAACTCAACAAACTTCACTGTGCTGGCACAATTCTGGGAAGTGTCTCCTTTCACAATGCGAGAGAACATTTGGCAGCTGCTAAAAGTTAGTATGTGTTATGGTTTCTGTACAGCTGAGATGGAACAAAGTTAACTGAAAAGTGGCAGGAACACGACTTCAGTGTATCTTGAGCAAAATATCGTAACAGCAAAGACAAAGAGGAGGGCCGGGGAGAGCAGACTGCTCTTGTAGCTTTGAGGGCGTTTGTGGTTTAAGAGCAAATAATCTGGGAAATGTCTCCTTGTGTATGAGACGCAACCCGATTACACAAAGACACACTCACCTCTCAAGGGTGAATGGAGTCCATCTCTGATGATAGGCGACTGTTCTCCTGAACAAAATAACAGAAGAAAAGACCAGAGTTAAAACACGCACACAAATATGTACTCCAAGTATCCAAGTATTCTGTCAAATTGGCCTCAGATGATGCTTATGTAAAATTTTAGGTCACATAAGGGTAACAGGGGAAGGCTGGAATTCTGAGTATTTTCATATAGAAAAAGAAACCCACTGTAGGTTTTTGTGTTATTTACTGCAAAATTCTCTAACCAAGTTCATCTGCCATCTGTAGTCAACTCCTGTGGAATTAGACAGCCAAAGCACATCATATATCACAAGAAACAAACATAGTATAGCCTACAGCATATAACGTTTTATGATGGGAAGGTATTATAAGCATTTAAGCGCCACAATTTTAAAAGCATTATATCACATAAAGCATCACAAAGAATCCATCAAGTAGACAATCGCTTGTGACTTTTTGACCTGCTATAAACAACACACTGCCTGTTATACACTGTACTCCTACCTTCTAACGAAAATAAGTCAGGAGAGAAGGGGAAGTTATTGTTTTCCTCTGTGTACAGCTGCTGTGGGAGTTTTAAAAAGGGGGTTCAAAGGAAAATAAACCACCAGATAATGCTGTGAAATTGGGTGGATTTGATAAATACATCAGGGATCCATTTCTGGTGGAAATCCCTGTGATTATTTTCACTGCTTCCATTGTTTTTGATGTAAACACAGCGGCAGCAACGGCAAGGAGAGGGAGGGTAGCTGCCACTCCTGTGAACAAGTAGAGGCTCTGAAATGTACTCAAAGTATAAAAGTTAAAAACTCTTTCTCTGAAGGACATATTTCTATCAGCTGTTTCTGTGCAAAACTAACAAATAGGGGTGGGTAAGGATCTTACTGGTATCTGAGTTCCCTGAATTACACACCTCTTCGCCTGCAGAGACCAGACAGATCAATGAAGAGAAATATTATTGGAGTATTAATCTGGTCTGGGACACAAACAAAGTTAAGGATACCAGTTAGCAAAATGTTCTATATTAATCAATTCAATTCAATTCAAAACCTTTATTTAAGTCTCGAGAATCATTGAGATTTGCTTCATTTACAATGGTGTTAAGAAATGTGCAGATTTAAAACACAGGACGATACTCAGTGATAACAACTGCACACTGAGGTGAAGTGATTTGAGATCATTGTCTCAAGTTGTCCAGGGGGATTGAGAGAACATGTTGTAGATAATTCCTTGTGATTTGTGCACAAAAGCTAAAGGCAGAAGTTCAGAATAAACCCAACATGAAGCATGATCCCGTCATCCAGTTCAGCACAGATGTTCCATAGGGTGGCAAACTTTCCGTTCTAGTCAAGATGACAACAGACAAAATACCAGATTTGTCCTTTGTAGAACATTCCCATTGATTGTAATGGTGCAGCTATAAAAAAAAAAACTAAATAAACTAATAAAAAAATGCTGGAATTTAATTTGAATTTAAAATGTGACGATACTCCAGCGTGCTGAGCTCTTAACACACACACACACGTGTAAATACCGGCATATGGTTGTGGGTGCCATCCTGCGTGTGATCTCGCTCCTCCTCTTCCTCGTCTTCCTCCTCCTCCTCCTCCTCCTCTTCAGCTTCGCTGTTCTGTCTGTGCTCCTCCTCGTCCTCCAGCTCTGAGCTCGACTCCTCCCCTTCCTGCCACGCCTCCTCGCTCTTACACTGCTCTGCCTTCCTCAGCTCTGCACGATCACACACACACACACACACACACACACAGATGCACATAAGCCAAACTTTAGAACACTATAGAACGTATAAATTGACATTGTCGCAGTGTTGGCCATGAAATCAGCCAGTCAAATTCTCCAAATTATTATAAAAGGAGCGTCATTGTTTCCTCCTCTATCTCCTTTAGCCAAGACCTTTATGATTGAAAAGCAGAGAATGAGGGATTGACTGAAAGATTGAACATCTGTCGGATGAAAAATGATCCAGAACCAATGGAAAAACAAAAATACACACAAAATGCTTTATAAGTGGGGTCAATCTTGACAATTCAAACAGAGTTGACTGTTGAGTCTTATTACCGGTTATCAAATACTATGTTTTAATATTTTAAATCCTGGGTGCAGGAACAGTTTTCTCAAATACTTAGAAGTGCTTGAAGCTCCTTGATAATTAGCGATGGGGTTAACATGTATGAGCAGATCTTTTCAATAATATGCAGGCGTGACACTGGATCCTTTCTGTTTGGAAGCTGCATAAGACTAAGGTTATCAAAAAATGAGTGCTGGTTTGGGATCAACAAGCCACGGACAGGCATTTGTGAACAGGAAAGTCCTCATCATATAAAATAAATGCTAAAATGCTATGTACAATGAAAACAGAAACAAAGGGAGACAGGTTTTTTGCAGCCAGCAGTGGTGACGTACTGCGTGTTGAGCTGCTCTCATTGGCTGCACTTGATTTGTCCATAGCAGGAAGCAATGGTGGCTCTGTTCGCTAAGTATATACTGTCAATGGTGGCACCCCACACAATGAGGGAGTACAGCCAGTCTCATCAAAACACATGAGTTAAACATCCAACGAGCACAGCAAGGAACAATCTCTGGTGCCGCCTATGCACAAGAGCAACACCGTACCTCTTAATCCTTTAGCACACACACACACACACACACACACACACACACACACACACACACACACACACACACACATACACACACGCTTTTTTGTTTTGCTTGTAAAGCTGCATTCCAGGCTCCTGGTGCAAATGCAGTGCTGTCCAGTTTCACATGCCTTTAGAGAATCTTGTAACACTGTACAGGCTGCTTCTACTTGCTTTTGATCTTGGTGTCTCTTTCTTTTTACTGGTTATTTTCTGTGGTTTTGAATTTTTCTTTTGTATTTTTATTCTTGAGCATTTTTCCTGGCAGTTACTGAACACACACACAGTGAACTTTTACTGCACTGGTGGGTACGTCATTTTTGTGTACATGTAAGACAAAACTTTACTTTTCATAATGTGACATTATAAAGTAGTTTCACTGGGATATAATTCATTTCATGTATCTAATTTTAAAGGACCAGAGTGTATTTAGTGGCATCTAGAGGTGTAGTTGACGCTTCACCCACCCCTTCCAAGTGCAAAGGAGTGACTACGGTGGCAGTGAAATGTGCTACTTAGAGCTGTTTGGTTTGTCTGTTCTGGGCTACTGCAGAAACATGGTGGTTCAACATGGTGGCCTCCATGGAAGATAACCCTGTTGTGTAGACAAAAACGTCTCATTCTAAAAACACAAAAAAATAAATTTATTTTTAATAATTATTCACTAATAGGAAAATTATGTTTAATTTCTTCCAACAGATCCTCCTAAATATTACACACTGAACCTTTAAATTACTTTTATTGGGATATTTAATGGTTGTATGGACGAATTTTAATGCTTTGATGTGTTTATTTTCCATTAGTGAAGATTTGCATAAATGCAAATGCTATTTCTATTTATTTATTTATTTTTGGACTGTGGTTGTCATATCTTAATTACATCTGTCCTCTGCCTCATCATGTTCACACTAAGGTCAGGGCAAATTTCTCCAAAATAATTCTATGATGCTACAGTGAGAATTTATAGCAACCCTCTTTTCAGAGCAGCGCCCCTCAGGTTGATCACATCCCCTTCAGACTGTCTTCTGCTCATCGCAGCTTTGTGAACCACAGCCTGTCAGCAGATGGGAGAAATATGTCTTGGCCTCCCTTTCGGCCCTTCTGGGTGCTGTTATCCTCCGTTTTACCGTAATTATACTTAACATTATTGCCCCCTAACTGCATGCTTGTCCAGCAGATTTTGACCTTTGTGATTTCAATTATCAGTTTTGCTTGGATATGCACATTATATCTGCTCCTATAAGGCATCCTTTCTTTCTTCAGTTTTTGTAGTTTTTGTATATTATATTTAAAACAATGTGGCTGTTGTTGTTTTTTTCTTTGGTTTGTATGAATTTAAATGGGAACAATTATAGTAAAAACCACACAGCATTCAGGTAACTGGACAAAATGGATCCAGACTGCTTGGTGTAAATTAAATTGTCTAACATAAATGTTTTGTGTCTGATATAAAAGTCTTATCCAAAATATATGTAAAATCAAACAACCTACAAAACATATAAAACATATGCTGTTACTACTACTTAGTTACTACTGAGCCATTTGTGAAGCTTCTTTTAACTAATTTAATCAAACCTTGTATGTCAATAGCTATATAAATCACCGCAAATTTTACAATACATATGATTATGACGGCATGCAGAGAGAGTGATCTCCCAGGCTGCTGATAAAATTGTCAGAAAAGAAGAAAAAAGATGGATGAGTGACTCCAGATGGCTCAGCTGTGAGCGCTGGAATGAGAGACAGATCAGAACAGAGGCCAGAAATGAGGATATCGAGGCCAAGGGAGAGGAAGAGGGCGTGGTACCAGACTCAAAAACGCCAAGATGGTTGTTACCGTTGCAGACAGCATTGTGACAATGTTACAATTTGAAAAGAATGTGTTCTCCCTTGCTTTCCCGTTTCTAGGTCTACAGGGGTGTTGTAAATCTTCCCTCATGTGTTTGCCTCCTGCAATACACTAACGGGCAAATTCACAGACGGACTGCATGGCTTTTGCGACTATTAAACCTGCACAAATAAGACAAAAAGAAACCGTGTAATTCACAAAGGGTGGAATGCACCTCTAACTGTGCTGCCAAAAAAGAAGCGCCTCAGTGTTCCAGTGCTTTTTGCATGTATTTAAATGATGTAATATGCATACATTTGGTGCAAAATGACCCTCTTTCTATGGAAATGAAGCTCATTGCAAGAAAATCCAATTCACAAACACCAGTGCTAATAGCCACACGCAGTTAGAGTAAAATTATTTGTATCTTAGGAGAGTTGGTTGTAACTGAAGCACATTTATAAGCGTCATGCCCAGGCTTTCCAGTGGCGAAGCAGTAGCGCAGCACAGTACACTATATGCGCACAGATGGCACCGCCAGTACAAACCTGATATTCACCATGAGTGAATGAAACAGTAAAACAACATGAGACCTACTGCTGTGAGAAACACGACGGAGAGAAAACAGCTCTTCTTGCACTAAAAGGCCTAAGGGAGAGCGCACAGTTAAAGCATCCCCATATAATGCCCTTGAATACCCTGTCTACAAAAAGCTCAACCTCTTGATCATTTACCAGAAATTTAGCCAAAGGCAAATAAAGCAGACTCTTGATCAGCTGATGAGTCAGTTGGTGTGTGTGTGTGTGTGTGTATGCCATCTCACCGGACTTCCTATCTCGGCTGTCAGTCAGCAGCCCACAACCCTCCCTTAGCCTCCTTTCGGGTTGGAAATGGTCACCCTTTCATCAGGCCTGTACTGCCAGTCCTTTTCCACAGGTTGTAGTTCTTGACAATCATTGACCAAGTCTTTGACCAATCCACAAAGGTAACAACCATTTTCGAGTCTGGCCACCACTCCCTCTTCTGTGGGTTTTTACCATAGGAGAGAGGTTATTCCCAGATGAGGAATACAGAGGAAACTAACGTGATAATAGCACAGACTTTGTAAATTGCACCATACAGCAGATGTCACAATATGGGTTTGAGAAAACACTGTGCCTATCACCCAGAGAGTGAGGGAGCAGTAGAAAGTGAGGATGGCACTATATAACTCAAGCTGAATAGTGTGTGTAAAGAAACAGTGTGTAAAGCTCTGCCCCTGGTGCTACTTAGCATTACGGGAAGGAGAAAGCTGAAGACAGGCTTTTCCCCATTTGAAGTGCTCACAGGAAGGCTGGTGGATACGGGATGGCATTTCCTGGTCCAGGAGAGGAAATGAATGAAACGATGCTAACCTATTGAATTAATCCCTCAAACTCTCTAAGATCCATTCATACATATGGACATGATCCAACTGGGAGACTGGGTTGTGGTAAAGGATTTTGGAGGCTGCCCCTGAAGACGACCAGGGAAACCAGAGTTCAGTGCTAGTAGCCTCGGACTCCAACGCAGCCTGTGAGCAATGGAGCCAGAGAGAAGGAGCTGGAACCCATTCAGGAGAATGGGCTGCAGGATGAGAGGCAGCCTGTGCTTCTTGACAGGGATCAGCTGTCTCACAGTGCTTCACCTGCTGCTTTAGGTTCAGCTTGGGACAAAACTAGGAGACAGTGCCAACCGCATGCAACCAGGTGAGGACACAGGAGAAAGCCCTAATCCCCAAGGATTTACAAGCCCAGTGGAAACCGAGAACATGGACAGACTACGATGGCAGAATTGAGAATGGTTTAAGCGTGACAAGTAGGAACCTTGGGGGTTAGACTCAGGCTCTCTAAAAAACATAGAGAAAGTACAGTCTGCTCATAGAAGGGGCAAGGCAGAGTGTAGATGAGGTCCGGTCAGAGTGGAAAATGATGGCCTGATTTGTGGGACGTGGGGGAAGGCAGAGGAGACTGCGTGCAACACATATGTAGTCTCCTGCAGGCTCAGAGACTTGAGGAGTTTTTTGAAGTCCTGGAGAACAGAGGATCCCCCAACCACCAACCACTCTCCTCAGTGGAGATCAGCTGATTCGCAATCGGCACTGAAGAAATCATTAAATGAACCACTCATCTTCTTGCCTAAGCCGGTCAGACTGATGAATAGATCACACGGCCTGTTATATATACAGATTTATGCATTGCTGCTTTTACTTATTGTACTTAGTTAAGCATATTGTATACCATGTATACTGTTATATGTCAGTGACATCTTTACTTTCAGAACATTTTCTATTTAGTACATTTTAGGTTTCAAAGTTCATATTTATATTGTTTCAAACTGAATTGCACTGCATGGATTTATGCTGGTTCCTAAGCAGGTAAGACAATAAACTTGAACATAAATAAAATACAAAAGTTTATAGCCTATTAAAATTTAAATTTGCTTTGGTGAAATCTATTTATACTTTGGCTCAGAAACGTTTCAGTTCTTTTTTCTTTGTCTCTCCTGCCAAGGGAAAACAGAGGAGCTAGACCTTGACTCCCATGACAGTGCTTCTGTAATGTAATGATGGAAAATGGAGCTTGGACACGGTGTATTTGGAAGGTTTGTAATGATGGAAAATGGAGCTGGGACACAGTGGATACTGCTAACAGTGCATTTGAGCCAAGTATGGACAAACTTCAATTGTTTACACATGTTGCTAAGACCATCATTCTTCCTTCAGTTTGCTCAAATTTGCTTAACTAATTTAGTTTGAGCAGAGCAAGGTACAGCTGAGCTGAATGACAGTAGTTTATATAAAGGGAGATTGGTTATGATAAACCAAAAAATAACATTTCCAAAAGAAATAAACAAATAATTCCACATATTCATAAGAAAAAAACTATAAAAAACAAAGTACATTTTGTTCTTCTGTGCTTTTATGACCACCTTGGCATAACCTAGGTTTCCTTGCACTGGGTATTCTTTCCCCCAGTAGTTTTCTTTCCAGCAGGTATTTCAGCTGTTTCACAGAGGGATACCTACAGCATCATATTTTGAAGAGAAGGGCTACTGACCAAGCAGCAGTATTTGACGACTTGGTAGTGAGACCCCTTTGAAATTTCGTGGGGTAGGCCTGATGATTATAATGCAAATAAAGATGTGGCCTCAGTGACTTTATCATTGAAATTGGGACATTAAAAAAGCCACGTATGTCTTCAGAGGACAAGACCGGAAGTAACATCACTGAGACAAGATATATTTCATGTTGTTTCCTGCTCATTTCTCTTGATGTGACAATTTTATTCTTTCTCCAGGAATCTGAAGAGCACACGTGGCTGCCAGAAAGTTTATGATAGTTCATCATCAAACCAAACTCTTGAAGCTCCCCGGTGAAAACCTGCTAGCATGTAAAGTATTTCTCTAATATATCAAATATTCACAACTAAATAAGTAATGACTTCAGCTACAGAATCGTCTTTAGGTATTATTAATGAAGAGTTTCACGCTCTATAATTCATTAGGGTGTGGTTTGATCAGATTAGATTGACAGCAACCCACAAACTCTTGTCAGATTCTAATTCACATGTTGCCAAATCCTGATTAGTGCAAAAAAGTAAGATAATGCCTTTTTATGTGTAAACATATAAATATCTTCTTCTATTTCTTACACATACATTCAACAGCAGCAGGTCCAGATGTTCTTTTATATAATCCATGTCAGTTAGTGATCGTCATTATCTCTATGTCTTATTTGATAGAGTCATTGAAAGTAGCAGGTTGCTGCATCTATTTATTTCATTCTGGAAACATAGCAGATAGCTGTGTTTTTGCTTCTGATATAAAGGGGCATTTATTCCACAGAGCCTGACACTCAGCTCACCAGGACAAGCATTATAACGTCCATGGTAGCAGCCACTTTTTCCATTTGGCAGATACAGATGGTCGGAATTAAAGGAAAAACCCGAATAAATAAATGCAGAAATATAATGAATGCAATCCGTAAGGGACACCAGGGCTCACAGAATGGTTTACTGTAGATAATATAAAGAAATAAAAAACTTTATTATTATGATTATTTATTTTATTTAAACAGGGACAGTGCACGATAAAACATTAACCCTGTATATAACAAGGATAGATGCAGTGCACCGAGTTTTAGCAAACTGCTATTTTCCACCCGTAGTCCCTGGGCAGGTAAATGGAACATACAATAAATTAAAAACAGTAAGATAGAAGTAACTGGTATCTATTATGTATTTATTTTACAAGCTTTCGGTCAGTGACCTTTGATTGTACTGAGCTGCCTCCTCAGTGACCTCAGCAGTATCATTGCTGGGTTCACTGTCTCCAAACCTATTAAAGGCTTTTAATGGATCAGTTTTGGGCAGTTTTCTTAGATTTTATATTTCATCTGTATGTAACTCTTAGCACCTGCCAAGATATGAGCGTCCTTCAGCTCCTTGCATGCAAAAGCAACAGAGTGCCTCTCAGAACTGCTGGGAAGCAGCCAATGTGCTGTAGTTCCCAAAACTTTTTCTCCTCTCAGTCCAGCAATTAGCTGTTACAATATCATCCATGCATGTTTTTGGTCATGTTGAGGTCAAAAGATATGTCTATTGGTAAATATGCTATTTTTTAAACCACTTGGTTTATATAATCCTGTATTAAAAGCTTTTAAAAGGTCCACTGTGTAAGATTCAGTGGCATCTAGTGGTGTTATTGCAGATTGCAGCTCTTTTGCTTCATCTTTTCTTTCAAGTGCGAAGCATGGTGGCTGCAAAATGCGTGAAAAACAAGAAACACCCCTATCTAGAACCTATCTACCTATCTAGTGTTTAGTTGGTCCATTCGGGGCTACTGTAGAAATATGGTGGACTCCATGGAAGGCAACCTGCGCTGTCTGTAGATTAGTTATACACTAATAAAAACATACCTATGAATACACGTATGAATGTGTCATGTCTCAATTTTAGGCAAAACACATGAACACAATGAAAATATATCCTATCACGAACTTAAACTTTAACATTAATATTGAACTGAAATTGTTCTAAAATAAAATACATATCACCTTAATATTTTTGCTTTAGTGATCCTGAATCCAAGTAATGGCTGATGAAAATCCCTCCATGTTGAGTTTTTTCCTGAAGCTCATGACTGATCTGATGCTACAGAAAAAAGCTATTTACAATTTGCCTCTTGTTCACACATTTATACACACACTCTCACACACCAACGGAGACGGATCTAAAAGGCCTAATCACCGGGAGCAACCTGGGGTTCAATGTCTTGTTTAAAGACCTTTTGACAGGTAGACAGGAAAAGACAGGAATCAAACCACCAACCCTGGATTAATGGCTGACCTGCTCAACCTCTGGCACCACATATGTGTATGTCTTCTCTGAGATAGAGGCATCTAAGTAAAATCAGTAAATGGTTTTTCATAAATGAACCAAATAATCAAAGAGATGGACTAAAATAGTTTTGCCGTGCATCATCAAACAGTTGGACTGCAGTGTATGTTTAAAAAATGTATTGAAGAGTCAGAGCTGTATTGGTTGTATTGAGAGGTAAGTTGAATCCTTCACATACCTGACCACCATGTTGGCTTTATAATCACATTAACACATTCAGAGTTGATTGTTTACACAGGCTCCCCTTTGTTTTCCCATGTATTACTCCCATTATGATTGGATTAAGTATGTTTGTGGGTGTGTGTGTGTGTGTGTCACCTGTGGCGGTGATGTGTGTGTCTTCTGTGATCTGTTCCAGTCTGCCCAGCAAAGCTTCGATGTTGGCTTTGATCTGAGTCAACTCTGACTTGATCGCCTGAAGCTCTGTACCTTTCACTGCTGGTAGAGAGACAGGCAGAGAGAGACAGGGCGGGGGGAGACAGAGAGAGAGAGGGAGAGAGAAAGAGATGTTAGCATCTATTTTCTGAAATCTGATCCAGACATTCACATTTTACATGTTCAGAGTCTTACAAACATTATTATGTTTCTGGAGCCTTCTGGAGACGATTGCTGCACTCGTCTTGCTGTACATTTCTAGCAGACAAGGTTTGGATCCTGAGGAGAGCAACAGAGTTTAAAAACACTGCAATGTTCAAACGATACTCCAGGGTCACTAATGGGTCTATATGAGCCATGAAATCATTCGCCACAATGTGGCCGCAGTCACCACCACCACCACCAGCCAGCCTGAACTTTTAACAACAGGCAGGAGGGATACATGGACCGACTCTTTTTCTTCTGGTCAGGTTCATGAACATCTGCCAGTTTCATGCTGGTGTTTATTGTTTAAAAGTGAAAGCAACACTAGAGGAAAGGCCGGTGAATCACTAAAAACATCAGGAATCATCCTTTGAGATCCATGAATATTTATACCAGATTTCATGACAATCTGGCCAACACATATTGAGATATCTTGCTGTGGGTCGAAGTGATGGATTAACTGTTTCAAAATGCAAATGTTATTTTGATTAAATTGATGGTAGCTTTTTTTTTTATTTCTTTGATGTAGAAAAGCTAAGAAATCTAGAGTTCTTAGTACATTTGTTCACTTTGTTTACAATTGTATTATTTATAAGTAAAACATCCTTAAAGCTGCAATGAAATTTGATTTATTTTATTGGGAGCTAACATTCAAATACAGTCTATGAGAAAACAGACAAACCAAAAACAGCTTTTAAATGGTTTTGATAATATTTTTCATTTCTGAATTTCATACTTATTCAGTAATTATTTACCACTTGCTTTAATCGCAACAACTTTTCTTGGACACTTGTTTTTATTTTAGAATGAATCTTATTTATTGTTTGCTTTTGTCAGTGAGTTTTTGGATAACATAGAGAGAATAGGAGGGGTGAGGGGGCAGCAAGTGATGAGTGCATTAGTGGCAGCAGAGAACAACTGGAGCCATGCAACACATCTGGTGGTTGTTTTTGTTTCACTACAATGAACTCACAATTACTACCACATTTCACCAGCTGTGTGTTTGTGTTTATGTGTGTGTGTGTGGTTGTTGCTCAATACATATTCACTACTCCTCCCATTCTTACTGTCTCTCTCACTTTTTCATTTCCTTTCTTTCCTTTAGCTCCTCTTTCCTGTTTTTCCCTTCCCTGCTTTTTCTTTCACATTCCTTCTTTCTCGTACCTTTGCCCTCATTTCTCTTGTTTTATCTTTCCTTTGGTTTAACTCCCCCTTTCTCTTTCTGCCTTGTCTTATATCTTAATTTAATGCATCTATTTGTATCTCTTCTTTATCTTCACTTATTCCTTTTCTTTCCCTTTTCTCCACCTGCCTACCTCTTGTGTCCTCACTCTTTCATCACCTCCTTCCTCTGTAGGTCTTGTCATCTTACTTATTTTTGCTGTTTCATCTCTTTCTCCAGCTGTCCTCTCTCTTTCCCAGCATCACCCTTCCCACTTTCTTGTCATCCCATACCTTTTTTTTTCTTCCCTTGTTGCTGTTCTCCTAATCTTGTCTCATCTCCACGTCTCTATTAGCTGTGTCAATAGAAATGTCTCTGTGTAGAAAGCCATCTGAGTGCGAACCAAACCAGCTGAGAGGCATCTGTCTCTTGGTGGACAGTTGTACACAGATACACACACACACACACACACACACACACACACACACACACACACACACACACACACACTCACACACTCACACACTCACACACACACACACACACACTCACACACTCACACACTCACACACACACACACAGGGTACTGGATAGCACATTAAGAACCTAACGGGAAATTATATCCAAACACATAAACAATAAAAACTTGAAATGTTTGAGTAAATCTGAGAAGTAAAGACATGAAGTGAGAACAACTAGACAACTACCTAACAAAACCCTAAAATAAAACCAAAAAGCACCACGAAACATCGCTTTTTTATGCCCGAAAAACCTTCCCTCTCTGTTGCTGAGACTCTTGCTTGCGCCTTTATGACATTCTGACTTGATTACTGTACTGCCCTTCTGCTTGGTGTAACCACCCGGGGGTTAAAAAGACTACAGAATGTCGAGAATTTGGCTACAGTTCTCTGCCACACGTGGCCCTGGGAGTGCAACGCCCCCTTCAGTAACTGCACTGGCTCCCATACTGCATTTGTTTTAAAATACTTCTCCTTGTTTATAAATCTCTCCATGGCTTAGCGCCTCCCTGCCTATCCAATCTTCTCCATCCCTACACATCGACTTACTCCTTATGTTCCTCTGATGCCCATCTACTCTCCACTCCCATAATGTGTGCCGATGAAAAACACAAAACCATTAAGGACATTCAATACTAAAAGTGAAGCAATTTTCAATATTTTCACATGTCACAATCTAGGTGGCATGAATTGAATCTAAGACACATCTAGATAAGGCCGTTTAAGCTTGACATATGCTCTTACACTGACCACAACTGACTCAGTCATCATGAACATACTACCTCATACCTAAACAACAGAAGTACTTTGTCAGTGACTTCCAGAATCATGCATGTGAGCCGATTTTGACACATTGGCAGACCAGGACCATTCGCTTCCAAAACACTCCATATGACCATCACATAAACGATTCATATGAACATTTTCTGAGCTGCCACTATATGGCTAAATTCTGGTTAGGTTTTTGCAACTAAAACTACTTGGTTATAGTAGGAAATATCATAGGCATGGTTTAAGAAAAAGGACAATGTTGACTATAGCAAAAAGCATGTAAACCACAATCTCACGATCTGACATGACAAAGTCACACCCAAAATCCTTTTCTTGGTCTATGCTTCTGATAGAAGACAGACATTATTCACCACACCACATTTTGAACAAACGACCAATGCATTCATTCTTTGAAGACAGTCTTGGTCAAGAGATAAGAGGAAAATAACTGTGGCGAATAACTACACAAACAATAGTTCCTGGTGAGTTTTGAGCTCAACTCGGTCGAAGGTACCTTGAAAACCGAAGAGTGAGAGGCAGTACAGGGTTTTTAAGAACAGCAATCATTCTGCTGTAAGCTTGCAGAGGTGTCAGTGCTCATTTAAACAGTCGTAGCTCATAATTCAACTGGAGACTGTAAGAGCACAAGCCCTTGAGTCTGCCAGAGATCCCACTGTTAGGTGTCATTGACACTGAATCCTTGCCAGCTCCAGAGGAGCTGCTGCATTCTGTTGCAGCTCTGAACTTTGACCTCTAATCACTCTCTGTAGCGAAATGAGAGAAGATGATATTTCCAAAGGGAACAATTGAAGATAATTAAAGATAAGTTCTTCTCTTTAAATGTAGTAATGTTCTTTTAAAACTGAAGTATGACAGTTCTTAATTCTCATCAAGATTTCTGAAATTCAAACTCAACCCTCTGCCTTGAGTCTAAACGTTTACACTGTCTTACTCACGTCTGCATCCCATTTTCTTGTTGGAATGAAATGTCTGGCATGGCAGTGTCTATTACAGTACTGCCATGGAAGTTACAATGTCATTTTTGATTTTAATTATTTAAAAAAAAGATACATTTCTTGAATGAATCCTTGCCAAATACACTATGTAACTTTTTTTCTCATTTATCCTGGGGATGTATGCTCTTATTTTTGGCAACATGCTGCTTAATATTCATGTAGTCTATGCATTAAAACAGCCTGCAAAGTAAAACTACAGTGTCTTCAATCAACAAGTTGAGTTAATTGTATGTTATGGAATTGATACATGTAAGGGTTTAAAATAGTCTGGCTGGTAGAAGTAGATCTATAAGGATACCTTGTGGACACCAAGGGCCTCAAGTATAAACGGTGCGTACGCACAAAAAGGTTGCGTACACTGGTTTTCACGTACACGGTGGGATATATAAAAATGAACGTGACGTAAGGATGTGCAGGCCGTGCTGCAAACTCTTGTCTGGCTCTGTAACTTGAAGATTTCAAACTTCAAAGTACTGAATCTCGCCATATGTTTCTACATAAAGTTTCCACTCCAGTTGTTGTGATATGTCTATAAGGAAAAAAACATAATTATGTGTACTGATATACCATGACAGTTTGATCCTTTCTGTGGATAATGTTTAACATCAGAAAGACCAAATCCAAAACAGGAAGAAAATTCTATTTTTCCCACCATCCATACCTTGTCCTAAATATGTGTTCTAAATATGTGTCCACCTGGCTAATTTCCCACAGATGAAATGTCTTACTCACAGCGCTAACATTAAGATCACCAGGGGAAACAGCGATTTCTGTTTATGGGACATGGAGATGTTAACGCACGTCTGAGAGTGTACAGCTGCTGAGGCACACAGACATTCATGACGCACAGTTGGCGAGGCGCACAGATCCATCTCCCAGGGTAGAAAACACAGTGCCAGGTGGACAAATGCATTTACTCACAAATGTGACATGTCTCTGCCGTAGGAGCTGTGGATGCATAAAACCCTGACCCGGGCCCACCAAAGCCGAGTGCAGCAGCCATATAGCTTGGAGTAACATACACGTCAGAGTCGCTCTCACATGCGGGCAGGATGCCAGAGGTGAGGGCTTTTGATTGCAGCAATCCTTCCATCATGTGGCATCTGGCTTTCCTGAACCACCCACACCTGTAGCAGCAACACTCTGCAGATGTGCAGTCAGTTGTCTTTTGACATCCATCTTGATGATCATGTGGAAATTTCTTTGCATATGTACTTTTCAAGTTTTGTGAATGCGCCTTCTTTTAGAAAGAAAGCTTCACAGTCTTTTATACATGAGGCCCTCAGAGAGCAAATAGCTGTTGAGTTGTACCATGCCGACACTATGCTCCAGAGGTTAACAATTTGGGAACTTCCATTCACTTTATATTCTCTATAAAATAAGAATAAAGAGAGAGTGGATGACACACAAGACAGGGCCACAAGTCAGATTCAAACCCTGGGACAATGCAGCAAGGACCCAGCCTTGGTACGTAGGGGGCCAGCTCTGCCAGGTGAGCTATCCAGGTATCCCTTCAACTACATATTTAACCGGATGAAGGATTTTAGTCATCGGACGTCTGGATCAGGGAAACAAGCTGAGCAATCATTAGCAGCAGCACAGCTGGCAGGCCCTCTGGGGCATCCTTTGTCCGCCAAACCGCATTGGAGGAACACAGTGTTTTTACTAGTTTTAATGACCGGGTCTGTTTTTTTGAAGAGTCGAAGAACTTTTTATTCAAAAAGCCCTCTGCCCAAGGATCTCAAAGTAAGTGCTAAGAGGTCAAAGATACAGCAAGGAGAGAGGCCATGAAGAGCCTTGAAAGCAATTAATAAAAACTTATCTTATCCTAAAGCATGGGAACTGGGAGCCAGTGTAAAGAGACTAAACAGGAGCGATGTGATCACATTTCTGCAGGCGTAACTGGGCTGTTTGCAGTGATCCAGGCATGATGAGATGAAGGCATGTAAGATCTCTGTGTCTTTAAAAGTTAAGATATATCATAGTTTTCAAATATTTCTAAGATGATAAAAACATTGCACAAGCTTTGTGATTCCTCGCCACAGGCTTTATATGATCCAACTGAGAACAAGCAAATGGCAGAATTTGTTTGCCGTGTTCTGGAACCCAAAGACAAGAATCTCTGTTTTGTTTGAGTTCAGAAGAAGGACATTTTTTGACATCCAGTTTTTGACATTACAAAAGCAGTCACTGTGAACTCTGTGTATCATCAGCATAAAAATGAAAAGAGACACTGTGTCGATGAATATACCCAAGGGGAAGGGTGTACAACTGACCCCTTGGGGCACACCATACTGAGGAAAATGAAGAGACTCAAAACCTTCTACTTGACAAGTACAATGGAAACCATTCTGACACTGTCCAAGACATCCCCGCCCAGTCTGTCTAACAGGTGCTGTGATCATTGTGTAGAAGGCTGCACTAAGGTCCAGGAGTACATACATAAAAACTGAGTTAGCAACATCAAAAGAAGAGTAGGCGGGCCAATGCTAGAACCACCTGAAACAGCTGCTATCACCACGTTGATGTTGCATTGCATGGGTGATATTGGGGTAAGTCAAGCGTAAGTGAAAGGTTAGGTAAAAGGTAAACCATGTTTTCATCTATACATTGTCTAATGTTTCGCTGCAAAACAATTGACTCTCTCCTGATATTGTATGTCATTGTATTTGTTATAGTGGCCCATCATAAATTAATATAATTATATTGGGTTTTTTTTAATCATCAGACAATTAAAGTTCCATTCACAAAATTGACAAAAAAAAAAAAAACTGCTTGTATGAATGCAGGCACCACAGAGATTGGTAATGGTTCATACAATATCAGATAAAAAAATCTGTAAAAAGGATTATTTTAGTTTTTCAACACAGCTTTTATAATGTGGACCCGAAGTGCCTGTGGTTTAAAGACTGTCTCTGTAACCAGGAGCACAACCAACTTCACATTGGCAGGGTTTGTGTTTTACACTGAGCATTAGGCAGTACAAACTGTCAGCTCTTTTTTTTGAGTTTTAAAAAAAAAGTGGTAAAGTGAGTGGTAAAGGAAAAAATATATAAGGTGTGTTCTGTTTGGATATTGCTTTTCAAAACCATTTGAAATGCAAGTTTGATGAGTACACAGAAAGACACTCAAATCAGTGACATAAAAAAACTGCTTTGTGAGCTCTGCACAGAGTGAAATTCAGTGAAACTCAGCGGAAATAAAAAACTGCTGTTGGGAAAGAAAGGTTCAGGTCGAAGTCAAATATGAAAGGAGCTGACGGGACGTCAGCATCTCTTCTCAGATCCACGGTCTGAACATGATGTGAAATGAATGTTTAATGAGCGGAATGCAAAAATAAAGTGACACCAGTCGCCCTGATGCTTGAACCTTCCACTGACATGTAAAACATAAACTTGAAAGATAGATGAAGAGGAGGCTTGGGTCACAGGGTGGAGTCAGAAAGAAAGAAAGAGACAGTTTAATGACATATGGTTGTTTACATCAGAATATTGGACTTCCACCAACAAGACATTCATGCTGATATACTTAAATAAACTTCATGTTTACATTCTGAATCTCTGGAAAAATTGGACTATTTCCCTGTTAAAACAATATCTACTTTAATTGCTATTTATACAAAAACAATCACTGTTGCTGCTACAGCAGCTAATGCTAGCGTCCATACTACTATAACTTATTTTATTGCATTTTAATGCTCCAATTGTACAATGCATCACTGGAATTGTTGGTTCTGTGTTATATTGTGTTATATGAAGTGATGGTGTTTCATAGACCCGAGCATAGTTGCATGACATATATAAAAACTTCATTCATCCATTCAGCAGTCCTAATAATATACTTTTCTGTGTTTTTTTAACAAAATAAAAAAGGGAAATATGTAATGAATGGCTACCATCATTGTTAGAATTATGAAATAACATCAAAACTTGTGAAGGAGATTAAATATAATTTTTATTCTGAATTCTGAAAAATCGATTTTCCAGATTAGGTTTTAGTTTGCCAGGGATTTAACTTTCAGAAAACAGATAACACAAATGTGACTTGAATGTACAGGTAATAAAAGAGACACAAGTATGGGATCCATATGATAGATAGATGGATAGTGGAACTCACATCTCTGTTTGTTGCCGTTGCTGGTGGGGAGGACAGAGGCGTTACGTGCCAGCAATTTGACTGGCAGAGATTTGACCCGTCGTACCAGGGGCACCGCCACCCTAGGGCGTTTGACGGGCACCACCCGAGGGACTGGAGACACCCTGCCACGGTACTCAAACAACCTGAAGAGAGAGAGGAGAGGGCAGTCGAGAGGAAAACAAGGGGAAAAGTTGGGATAGGAGAAGAGTGGTCACAAGGGGAGGAGTGGGCATTTGGGAGAGAAAGACAGAGAAAGGCAGGGATTAAGACAAGAGGACAGGAGAAAAGGGAGGGCAGGTGAAGGAAGGAGTTGGGAATAAGGAGAGGAGAAAGAGGAGGGTTGAAAAGAAGGAGCTGAGAAGAAATGAAATTGAAAATCAACCTTTATTCAATCAATTCAATCAATTCAATCAGAGATATAAATTATATTTGTATACTACTAATTTGCAACAGCAAACATTTTTGGTAGACAACAAATTACATGATTATGTACAAACATAATTGTAGGACCAGTGTGTAAGATTTAGTGGCATCTAGCATGGAAGTTGCAGATTGTAACCAGCTGAATACTGCTCACTTTCCAAGTGTATGGGAGAAACTACGGTGGCCAAAACCCACTTAAAATGCAAAAGGCTCCATCTAGAGCCAGTGTTAAGTTTGTCCGTTCTGGTCTAATGTAGAAACATGGCAGCATCCGTAGAAGAGGACCTGCTCCCTCGATAGATAAAAAAAAACAGCTTATTCTAAGGTAATGAAAACACAACGATTCTTATTTTCAGATGATTACACACTAATGAAAACATATTTATGGATATATGACACTCTTGCCTTCTGCCCGATATGTTTAATAACATTTGTTTATTGTGTTTTATTGTGTCAGGAGACCGGGTTAACTGACAAACAAATCCAATATAGTGTTTGCTCTGTGGTTATGTTATAGGCAGCACTTGGTTAAGGTTAAGGAAAGATTGTTGCCTTAATTTAATGCAAAAAAAACCAGTGACTTGAAGGACGAGAAAGGACAAGGTTACTTTATTAACATCTAAACAAAACGATGACTATCTCTCATGTCAAAGTCCTGTGCTTTGCACATCCAACCATCAATCCTGACCAGCTCCCTGCTTGCAGTAAATAAACCAAGCAATCCCCTTATGTATTAAAACGTTGCCACACGCTATAATCCAAGGAGCAATTATGTTTTCCAAAATATAGTATAGAAACAAAACTTCTAAGAGATAAAGTTAGAGTAAGAACATCAAATCATCAAACTTTTTGATCAGTTAATGAGGAGAGAGAAATAACAAAAATAAAATCACAGGGAATATCTCCATCTCAGTGCTTTTGTGTTATTTTGGCAGTTAGTATAAAATAAATTAATCCACATTACATTTTGTTCTAGCAGGGAATAATACAAAGCATGCAACAACAGACATCAATCAAACATTAAGCTATTTTCAATTTCATATTTGGAAACTTCACATATAGTGAATTAAAATGTTTTCTAAGGATTTATTAGTTTAGTATTTTTGTTTTCAGAGCTTTTGTACTAACATCAAACATTTGATTTTATTCATTTCCAGCTGGGAGTACCTCCTGTATTTCAATTGTGTTTTCCATTGTGGTACATTGCATGTCTATCAACATCCCACTTAAAAGCTCACTGATTTTAGTCATATTGGCATTATTTATGTACACTTAATTTTGATTTGTGTACCACTTAGAAGACATACTTTTGTTTAAGAGGCCATCAGCAATCACATGAAAAAAGCTGACAATTTTAACCAAACAGACCTCGGAACTGTTTCCCTGTCCCCATTTTGGACAATTAGACCACATTTCTCTATGTCAGCTTACTCCCACCTTATGAAAATGATCAAACCATCAGAAAAACTCAAACAAAGTATTGACAGACATAACTACAGCAGCTCTACATGATTCTAGAGACTAGCACATGTTCAGAGATGGTGCCACCAATGAGAACCACAGCAACCTAGTGGAATATGCTGCCAGAACATCAGAGGATTCGGAGAGTGCCAAATTACCAGATTAGCTTGACACCTTCTATAACGCCTGCCACTTAGGTGATGTCATCACTGACATTTTTATCATATCAGTATCACAAGAGTGTTCTAACCTGCTTCAAGACACACACGTCTGCAGTATTAACGCCCTGCTGCTTTCACCCCCATTATGAAGTACTTTTTAAAAGCAGCACATCAAAAACAACATACCAGGCAGCCTGGACCCTCCCAGTTTGCTTTCTGAGCCAACATATCCCCAGAAAATGAATATTTTAATTTCACTATTATTTTATTGGCTGAAAGTTAGCCCAATGAGAAAAGGCTTACTATTCTGTTCACAGGTTTCACACTCTTCACTGTTAATCTGTCTATCTATAGTATAGACAGTTATAGAATAAGGGGGATCCCTGGGCCTAAAGGTCTGCCTTGGCTCAAGGACATCATTAATCATCATCAGCCCTTCCTAAAAACACAATTTAGGCCCAACTTTGCCTTGTAACTTCAGACCAATTTCTGTCAGGTTCTCGAAAAAGTTATTTTCAGTCAATTATCGCCCTACCTTACTCACAAAAACATCTCAGAAAGATTTCAGTCAGGTTCTAGGGCTCACCACAGCACAGAGTCTCCTTTGCTAACTGTGTAAAACGATTTGCTCCTCTCTATTGACTCTGGGGACTGTGCCATCCTGATTCTTTTTTACCTCAGTGCGCCCTTTGATAGAGTGGATCAACATAGGCATTTTTCCCTCTCTCCTGCGGGATCCCACAAGGTTCCATCCTAGGTCCCCATTTTCTCCATGTACATGCTTCCCCATGGCTAAATCATTCAAAACAAGGCATTTCCTTCCACTGTTATGCTGACAACAAACAACTTTGTCATCCCTTGAAACCAGTCCAGTTTAATCAGTCTCATGAACTGTCCCAATGATATAAAGTGTTGGATGGCCCAAAGTTTCTAAAATTGAATGAAAGCAAGTCATAAATTATGTTTTTATTATTTCCCCCACCCAAATCCCTCAAGGTGATTACCAACAGTCTTGGAAACCGGTCCAACCTTGCTGAAAGTCCTGTAGAACTCACGCATGACTTAAACCATTCAAAGGCCATGCCACTGATGCCCACCCATTGCTTTAAACAAGACAAGAAGATAGTGTGATCAACTGTGAGATCTTCTCTCAAGTACCGTAGCTAAAAAATAAATAATAAAAATGTCTAAAATCATTTGGATTCAATTCTTTAGGGGGGGTTTAGCAAGAGCATAACAGGGCACAGTACCAGATAAAGCGGAGCTGTTTGAAATGTTCAGTATAAAAGTACAAGTTGTGTTAAAGAAATTCATTTTATTGACAATATACTTAAACATATACTATATGTTGAGGGACAAGGTTGAAAAGAGCAAAGCAGGTATTAGCACTAGCAGGTAAATAAAGGGGATAGGGGAATGGGGGATGTTAAACCACGTGTCAAAATGTTATATTTATATTTATACAGTTCCGGCTTTGGATGGGTACCAACGTTTAATGGGCAATGTTAAGGTTATCTGGCTTGAAAAGAATCTGTAAGAAGAAAACAGACAGTTTGTCTCGATTTTAAGTCTGTCCCTGTATTTTACAGAATAATCCTGCACAGATGACATCACTTTGTCATTCAAATCCAGCAGATTATTTCTCATGTGGTGGTCAAGAAAACAGTATTACACAAGCAATTGCAGATTCCCTTTTGCCACCCAAGAAACAACAAAGAGAAACTTTGAAAAAAGCCAAAGTTAAAAAGGGGAAACCACAAGGATGCTCTGTTTTACTGTCTTATAGTTGAGTAAAGTTAGAAAACAGGAAATGGAAAATCGTGTTTTAGAGCTCCCAAATGCTTCATATTGGTTAAAATGTCAGGATAAACCAGAGAAAAGAGGCCACCAGAGAAAACATTATTTTTTGGTTCCCCAACATGTGAGCCTGATTTTCTTGTGGTAAACCCTAACAATCTGCTGATGGGTTCAACAATAATATTAACTCTATGGTAGAATAATTTAAATGAACAAACAATATGTTGCCAGAATAGTGCTAACACTTAGCTTACTTGCAACACTAGCTTAGTCTGGGCACTGCCCAGGTGCCCTTGAGCAAGATACTGAAACCCTAACAGCTTGGTTGGTGCAGCTAAGTGCCAGACCCATCACTCTTACATCTCTCCCCTCAATTACATGTCTATTGGTCCAGTGTGTGCATTGCTACCGTTGCAGAATTTGATTAATTTTCAGGCTGTATTGGCGAAATGAGCACATAAAGTCAAACTGCTTTGGTGAATAATATTAGGATCAATTTCCTCCAACTTTTCAACAGCCCTGATGACACATGGAAAGGTCTTCTGATTTGATGCCAATATAGTTATGGTTGTATTATGGTATAATTAGGTTTAGGCACAAAACCGGGCTGAATGGCATTAATGTAACGGTCACATAATATTTCTGTTTAACGGAAAATAAATACGCTTGAGACACCGAACACTTCAAGAGTTATAAATTGATAAAACTGTGCATTGAAAAACACTAAATCTCCATCTTGACAATATAACCCAAATCAGATCCCATTAGCAGTGTACTCAGTATGTGAGTCTGTGATTTTTTTGGTGTATTGGCAAAGAACTGTTGCACTTTTGTGTCCCATACATAAAAAAAAAAAAAAAAAAAGTCAGTAAATCCCAGGTTCAAGTATGTTTTGCGCATTGTAAACAACAAAAACATAATTCATTCTCGTCTCAGGTCATGAGGGTTGACAACATTTTGGGAGACCTGTTTGGAATATGATGATTTAATTCAACAATTTTGACAACACTGAGCTCCCTTTGGCAGGTTCTGTGAGATATGGACTGCAGCCTGTGTTTTACTTTTTGGGACAAGCAGCAACTTTATTTTGGTCTGTTTTTTGATAACTAGCCCAAACAAGGCTCTAAAACTTTCAGATCCTCCCAAAGCTAAATCAGATTCTATCAGCTCATAAAAGTAGGTCTTATAATCACCGCAGATAACAAGATGGCAATGTGCTTCACTCCCCTTCCTTAACATGCATCTCAACAGGGATAAAAAAGAATGAATGGTAAATCATATTGTGTAATATGACAATTTAT